GCATAAAGATTAAGCTTTTTTGAACTTGATCGCTAGTATTAACTCTCTCTAATGCAAGGGCCTACAGCGGGATTCAAGTATTAGCTAGAATCTCTTTCTAGACCAAATCACTAAGGACCGCAAATATTGCGGTTCCTTCCAACAATTTATATTTCAGCAACCATGTACCATTTTGTCTTAGAATTATCAAGAGTCAAAGTACATGGAAGCACAGGGGGAAGTGAATCACTACCAATCCACAGGTTTTTGGGAAGATACCTAACTCAACTATCTGTATGAACCTTTAAATCATAGAAGGTAACGATTAGGTGCTGGCACTTGATAGTGGGAAAAGGAACCGTGGGTTTCTGATTCTGTTAGCTTTCAAGAAGAATTACTCCAAACAAGAGACAAAGTCCTTTCAATTGAATAAAAAATAAAAAAAATAAAGAACTCAAAAGACAGTCATTACAAAAATGCAGCATTGATGAAAGATAATACGAGGAAACTTTATATTGATGTTTACCTTTACGACAGGGTTGTGAGGTTTCATAGATTTCCAACACTGAAAGAAACACCTTTTACAATATTATTGCTAAAGAGGAGATCATTTCATTACAGGATCCCCAACTCTAAAACACGAGTCCACCATTTAGAAACATGATTATCATACATCTTAAGGCTTCGAAATGACTATCAAACATAACATCATTTGAGTTCTTGTCAATTATTACTGGTTATTGAATACCAAAACCCAACTTGATGTTTCAAACAAGTTGAAGATTATTATCCCCACTATCGTATATGTGAACAGTGTCCCACATTGGCTAAAAGAGAGTAAGGTCATTGCCATAGATGCAAGAACAACCATCTTCAATAGTATGAGGCATTCGGGTGAAAATAAAAGCAAAGTTATGCAGCCTTGAGACTATGTAAGCTACTAGAACACCCAACTAATTAGAAAGTCAGCCATCTATCAGGCTTGTACTTTTCCTACTAATATAGAACTATCGCATTGTAAAAGCTCAATTACAGTGGGGTTGACTTCTGATAACATCATAAATAAATCAGGGGCGAGTATGTTAAGGAATGTTTATTGTTCTAACCTTAACCGGTTAATTAGGCTTTGTTTAGGGAAGGTTAATCGTGTCTTATAATCAACACCAATTCTGATGTAACTAACTATTTCAATGAAATACACAATATCATTTGTAACCGGCGCGCACAATGTGTTTTCTCTAGAACCTGTACCTCATTTAAATTTTATCATAATTTTCGAAGGCATGCATGATTGAAGGTCTAACAAAGTCCACCTAATTTATAGCTGAAGGAATCCACAGTCACAATGTATATATATTGTAACAGAATCAGATAAATTAGAAAGCTCAATCATGCATAATCATGTACTAAAATAACTTCAATATGTTTACAGCTCGATAGAATTATATGATCAAATTTAAAAATAAAACATAAATGATCAAAGACAAAAAGGCAATTTCAATTGTTAACAAGCGAGTAAAATTCGACTACATAGTAACGCAAGCATAGATCTCTTCGCAGATTTCACTCCTCAATCAAATTGATATCATCTAAAAGAAAACAAATAAGCCAGAAGAAAGAAGGCACTGAACACATACCTCCGATACTGAACAGGCATGTTTCCCGCCTTCCAGATAGCGATCTTCTCAAACGCCTCAATAGGGAGCACAAAATGCTTATTAGGAGGGTTACAATGGCCTCCACCCTCAGCCGTAAAGCCATAATTAGGCGCACAGAAATTCGTAACAGTAACAATGATAGAGGTACCAGGAATACACCACCGGAGGTCCTCCACACACCGAAGCTGAAAGCACGCTCCACAGATCATACCGCGTTCAAACAGCGCCTCACTGAGCCCCACCGTCGCCATGCCATAACCTGCCTTCACTAAATCACCATATCCACAAGCTCCACCAACCGCATCGCGAGGATCGGCAGCAGCATAGTACGTGGCCCGAGCAGATCTCCACTCAGAAAGTGACGGCGCAACCTCCGGCGACGGAGAGGAGGTCGCAGACGAGAAATGAGAGGTGACTGGAGATGTGAAAACTGCTGCAAGTGTGAAGAGAAGGAAGTGAAGTGGAAGAGATGGCGACATCTCTCCGCAGAGAGAGAGAGAGAGAGAGGGGCAAAGTGGGGAAGATGATAAAATTGTAATTTTCTATTTTTGAAATCATTGATTATTTATATTAATGGTAGAAAAAGAATTATAAAGTTTTTTAAAAAAATAAAATAAAATAAAAATAAATTGAAGTGAATAGTTTTGTTGGTTCCGCTTAAAATAATATGCTTATCTCGTCGTGTCGGTTATGGAATCGAGAGAGAAAAGAAAAGTCTTGCCTTTTTCTTTTCTTTTTTGAATTAAAGATAAAAATCATTCCAATACCTTTTTCTTAAAAAAATAAAAAAATATTAAATTACAATTTTGGATATATTATCAACAAAAAAAAAAATAATAATAATAATAAATAAATATATAATAATATTAAATTACAATTTTGAATATATTATCAACTTAGAATATAGTTAAATGAATATTAATTAGTAAATTTATTTAAAGTGTCAGACTATAAAATCTTTATTTAAATGAAAAATATGGGAGAGAATAAAGAGAGATTTTTTTTTTTCCTTTAGAGCAGATAATTATTATTCTACGTCCCCACCAAACTATATAGTTCAAATTAACTAATTATATATATTTAAATTATATATATATATATATATATATATAATAATTAACCCATTAATAAATAGACAAGAAATTGACTCTGTTACTAGTTCTCGAGTTTAGTAGTTACTACTAAATTACTTTTTGGAGAGCACATTCGTGCTAATAGTTTCGAAAGTCGATGGCGGACTTCTCTCCCTATTAGTCGAGCCGCTTCACTTCCCTTTAATAGTTTTGAAGAGGAGTGAATTTTGAATAGTCAAAACTCTCTCGAGTTCTACTTAAATATGAATTTCGTGTGGTGATCAAGAAGCAAGAGCTTGAGCTTAACCAGCCATTGATTTGTGGTTCCCAATCGAGATGGAGATTCTGGTCCGGTGTAGGGGATACCTTCTTCATGATCTAGGGGTCCAAACCAATTGAAAGGATCTAATGATCAGTCCAGAGATTAGGTCAAGTGATCTGGTAATTAATAATGAAATTCCAGTCCTGGAATGGCTTACATCAAGCTTCACAGTCAACCGCTTCAATTCCGTCTTCTACCCTAATAGATATTAAATTGATAATTACAGCTAGACCGACACGATACGAAAGTTTTAAATTTGGATAAACTTAAATATTAAAGGTAAAAGAAAGTGATGGGTGATTGTCGGTTTAGGGGGAAATGGTGAATCATGAATGGTCCTTTCCATTCCAACTGATTGGAAAACAAATTTAAATCTGGGACCTTATTATATTGAATTCCCTCTCGAACGAAAGTGAAAGAAGTTGAAGTTTATAGGATAAGGTTTAACCGTGCTCGATACGAGCACGGTCCAATAATTTTAAAAGGTTATAGGCTTAAATCCGATATGTTAAAAAAATGCTACGACGAAGAAGAAACTAATTAACGAATGTTTCAATTTGACTCGCTAGCTTGATTGAGTATCGAGAGTTTGCTTACCTCTTTCTCCAATGATTCCTTTTAATATTTCGGTTTTTGAAATTTCTTTCAAAAGATAAGTTGACTTACGAACGTTTTGTTATTTTTTTCTCTACTTTACCAATATTGAATTATAAGAATTCTCGATATTAAGGTCGATTTGTGACATTATTTCGTTCTCATAATGAAAATGTGTATCTTCGAATGGTCAACTTGAACATAGGTCAATTGATTAAAATATATATAATCGATCAGAAGTTGTAGATCTGAATCCTCACTTCGACGTACTGTATTCCAAAAAAAAAAAGTAACGCGATCGAGCAAAAGGGGTAAAGACGTAATTATGTGCTGTGGAATCAAGTTGTTGTTTACTTGTTAATTTGACCTATTGGATGGGTAGCCGGATTTAGTAACTTGCAAGCTGCCAAAGCATAGTGGACTCCCACTTTATGGGGTAATTATTTTTTCCTTATTTTCTCAATTTTTTTTATCATATTTTTTCTAGAAAAAAATATTTAAATTCTATTTTATGGGTTAATAAATCGTTATTTTATTTTATTTTATTTTATTTTTAAAAAATTAGTCCTAGTCCAAATTATTTATTTATTAATTAATTTTACATGACCCACATACGGCAACCCCATGTTAGACATTTCAACTTTATTTCCCAATAATAATAATAATAAAATTATTATTATTATTATATGATAGAAACAAACAAACATTATATTATTTATAATGGAAATTTAAATTTTTGACCTATAAAAAAATTTACTAATAATTTAACACTTTCGAGCTATGTGTCACAATCGGACTTTTGATGGCAGCGGACTTGCGATTGTGCGGCACTCACTTTTCAATGACAAATGAGCTAAGTCAATTCGTTCTTGCGTCGCCTACGGCCAAGCGACGTATGCTCGAGCCTTTAGCCTCAGTTTTAAAAGAAGGTTTTAGAAAATGAGGGCAGAGAGAGATTTTTGAAAGAGACGTTATATAAGCAAGTAAGAGAGGGATAACAACGGTTCACAGTATATAATCTTGGGTAGGGAGAAGTTGACAACTAGTCGTATTCCTTGTAGTACATTCTGAGTCATTTCATGTCTGACAGACCTAGATATGATATTTCTGAAACGTCATCATTCCTAGAAATACAAAAGTAAAACATTAGAATATGAAAAAACATAAAGGGTTGTGCTTGTCATGGGCATGCGGCCATGGGTAACATGGCTTGGACGAGCATGACCGTGACACTATGCTCGTTCCGGCATTAAATTTTCTATATCAAATGTTACAATATCGAATACACTAAACATGAAAAGTCAATAGTAAGAGAGAAACGAGAGAAAAAAGCCTAATAAGTTTTGAATCAAAATAGAATATTAATTTCCCGAGAATTTACGGTTACAAAAATTACAAAAATTGACAAAATTATTTCGATAAAACAAGAAGGAATATAATTATGTATAATATGAACAAAGGAAAAAAAATTATAAAAAAGGGCATTGTTAAAAAAAAAATTAAACAAAATTTTAACATGCCAAGGCCAGGTAAGTTGGGATTATATCACCAAGCCTCTTCTGCTTCTCCTCAATGGCTGTACAAAATTTAGTTTGAATCTACAAGCAAAGCCTAATCCTCTTCTCCTCCCTCTCTGTATCTGTGACTGTATGGGACTGTGTAGCTCTCTCTGTCATGCATCTTTTGTATGGCACAAACCCTTTGGTGTTCTTTTCATGGCTACTTATTAATTCACAAGACAATGCTTTTCCAATCATCTCATCTCTATTTTGAAATACTCTGCTGCTGCTGCTTTGGATATCATTTTCCCCACTGTTTAATGATCCCGTGTTCGACCCGCACCATGATTGATCCTTGTGGGCTTCCCTATCATCGACTTCTCGACTTGGATTCGAATGTGCTTGATTAAAACAGTGTACAAAAGATAGTGGATAACTGCCATAAGAACTCCACCATGATACTGGGACTGTAGAACCTGAGCCTTGATTCGAGTCGACGTTATTGAGTTGTATGAAGTAGAAAGCTCCATGATTCCAAGTGCTCTCTGGATTTCCTGTAGGAGATTTCCTTGGTGATATTTGTTTTTGGTTTTCCCCTGGTTTAGAGTCGGCCTTGGATGAACAGGTCTCTATGGTTGGAGTTTGCTTGTGGGGATCTGATATTAATACAGTTCTTCCAAAGAGCTTAAGACTTTGGAGTGATGGTTCTTTTGTAGAGTCATCTTTTTCGTGCATATCATCCTTTGTAAATAACTCCAGGTTCTGCCATCCAAAATAAAAGAGCTTTTAGTTGCAACAAGAGGTATTTAATTCAAGAAAGATTACTGAAATTATAATGTAACTGTCCAAACACACCGCTAGCAAATATTGTCCTATTTAGGTTTTTCCTTTCGGGCTTCCCCTCAAGATTTTTAAAATGCAGGTAGGGAGAGGTTTCCATAACCTCATAAAGGGGTGTTTCGTTCTCTCACAATCCACCCCTCTTCGGGGCTCAGCTTCCTCATTAGCACATCACCCGGTGTTTGGCTCTGATATCATCTGTAACAGTCCATGCCCCCTGCTAGCAAATATTGTACTTTTTGGACTTTCCCTTTTTTGAGCTTCCATTCAAGGTTTTTAAAACGCGTTTGCTAGGGAAAAGTTTCTAAAGGGGGTTTTGTTCTCTCACGAATAAAATGACAATCAAAAGGGAGACAAAAAGAAGCTGCACCTTTGAAGTTTTCTCATGGAGAGTTGAATTTTCTGGTACTGGGGCTGCTGCTGTTGGAGACTCATTGTCCAATGAAGATGGAACAGATGAATCTGGAGATGCACTATCATGATGAATCCTTGAATTGGCGAACATTAGCGTATCTGAACCACTCGTTGCTGCTACGACTGTTGATGTTGGAGACTGGCATTCTTTTTCTGAAAGCTGTGGAGATAAAGAACTTGTCTGTTCTGAAATGGAGGATAGCTTATGAGAATGAGCTACTTCTTTACGGGGATATGGATGCGCTGGCTTTCGTTTCGGACGTGGCGGAGGAATCTCAATGCATCCTACTAAGTTTGTGCTACATCCATTTGAATTACGCGTGACCTAAGGCAAAAGGAAAACAAATGAAAAGGTGGAAGATCATGAACATGAAGAACAAGTATTAATCCTTCAACAATTATTTACATTCATAAATGGGAATGTTTATATACCTTGGAGAAGAACTTCTGAGCATGGCTACGAATCTGAACTGCAGTCTTGGTACCCACATGCTCTGTTAGGAAAAATCAATTAAAGGGAGAACGAAAAAGAAAAACTTAGTATAATTGGATATGCCATCGTGCTCTTTTTGTTCAACCATACCTTCTATTTGTCGCCAATCACGGCCATAAAGCTTCAGAGCTTCTATGAACTTATCATGTTCTTCGTCTTTCCATCTTTCTCTTTGTTTTGTGATCGTGTAAGGTTTCCTTGCCTAACCAATGAGAAACATAGGGTAAAGTTATTTAGAAATTCTTGAAATGAAGCATATCAGAATTCTGAAACAGAGAATTGGGCAAAACCTTGGGTGCAAATTCCTTTAATTGGACATTTGCTGAAGAGTGTTGATCAGGAGTCACAGTTGATTCATAAACAGCTGAATTCATGTTGTTAGAACAGAGACCACCACCAGTGTTCTACAGTGATGAAGAATCAGAGGGCAAGTTAATACAATAAAAGAAGAGAAAAAAAAAATCATGCCTCAAGAGACATCAAGAAATTCACTCTTAACATGAAATTCTGTTCAAAATATTGAAAATAAACTACTTGAACTAGAGCTGGAATCTTACCATGTTAAAATTCCCAGAATTACCCAAACCAAAAATGGTGAACAGGATGATAATATAGCACGATTCCAAATTCCAATTGCAAATTCAAGGGTATGATCAAGAACAGATGCAAGCGATAATTAACTGAAAAAATGTTGAGGAGATAAGTAAAGGTTTTATGTTTTCTTCACTCTCCCCTGAGGCTCTGTATAAAGTTCTTAACCAATGGGGAAAATATCTACCCAGTTTCGTGAAAAGTACAAACTCTAAAACGAAGAACTAAAATGAGAAAAAGAAATTCTAACATTTCGCAGAGATATTCGGGAAACTTTTCAAGAGTAATTTTAGGAGGCCAAACTTTAGCCTGACTGTACAATTCTGTTGGCTCAGATTTCAATATTGACCAAAACTCATCAAATTCAACACATGGACAGATGAAAAAAGAAATGTAAAACACGTTCTCCTATTATTTCTCGATTCTCATACCAATAATTAACAAGATCTGAACGCTTTCAAGGTACAAAAACGGACCAAACGAATCATTGGTCCAAATTACGTTTCGAAAGGTAATAGCAGAGAAGGAGAAGAAACGGAATATTCATACTTGTAATTGTATGCCTGCAGCACCCATGGATACTTTTGTCTTCCTCTGCTTTAACGGAGACAAACACCTCTGTCTTCAAGAATTTGATTGCTGTTCAATTTACAGTATCCAAGAAATCCTCTGTACTCTTCAACAATCCGAATCAACAACCCCTAAATAGCCAAATAATCGACGGTTTGCATGCTTGATATGAAACTGATTTAGTTCCACTTCCACGGTTAAATATCCTTATTCAAGTCAGGAGTAAATGACTCTAAACCAAAATATCAAGGTCAAATGCTTCAAAACCCTAAAATTGAGCAACCAGCCACTGAACCAATGTCTAGGGCTTCAAGCCTAGGAAAACAACGGGAATCAGATTCGCCGCAGTAGACTTCAGAGAAACGAAAAGATATAACGTCCGTACAAGAGCAACAAAAGAACAACTAATTCCTCGATTGCGAAAGTGGAGAAGAACAAGCCAACAAAACTATGAACAACAACTTCATTCCTAACATCAAACAACTCCTGGTTACGCAGAAACCAAACAAACCCGATCAATCGCCCTGCTACGAATATGGAGACAACGGATGGAAGAACAAATTACACCGAAAACAATAAACAGAAGAAAAAACAGAGAAGCTCGAAAAACATAGATTTAGAGATTAAACTCCAAAAAACCAGTCCGTTCAGTCCAAATTCCGAATCAAAACTAGTAGAACCATAAACTCCAGAAGAACAAAGAAGTTATGCGAAGAACATGAAGAAATATAAGGATAGGAAAAATGGCGATGGAATTCAGAGTAGAAGAAAAGCTGTAAATGAAGAAGAACAAGGAAGAGATATGATGTAGCTAGTCGACTGAGAACTTTGGCTTCCGGTGAAGAGCAATAAAAGTCGCTACCACATATTCTTTTTTCATTTTTTTTTTCTTTTTAAATTTATTTCTTCCAGATATATATATAATGGATAAATAAATATAAAAATAAAATCGGATAAAATAAAATACCCTTAAATTTTTAAAATTTTCGATAATACCTTTCAAATTAAAAAGAACCTCTATATTTTTATTAATTTAAGTTTATTTATTTATTTAATTTAATGAAAATAATTTAAAAAAATTATGAATTTCTTACATATATTATGAATTTTTTTTTATTTATTTAAAAAGACAAATTAATTGAATCTGGACTGGACAGCTTTTTTTTTTGGTAAATCCATCAAATCTATAAAGGGAAACCAAAAAAATCTCGGCCAAATAAAATCTGTTTTATTTTTTAAATTTGATTTTTTTTTAAATTTTAATTAAATATATTTGCTGTTTTCCATTTTTGGCAAAATCTAAACTTTTTTTTAATTATGATTTATATTGTTACCTTCTCTTTGTCTTTTTTATTTTTATTTTAAAATTATAATTAAATATAATTAAAAAATTCCAAAATTAATATTTTCCTTAAATACTATATTTCACTATTAATTTTCATTTAAAAATTTCTAAAAAATTATCCCCAAAATAAAATTTGGAGGAAAATAATATTTGAAAATATGAGTTGTCAACAATAAATAAATAATTCAGGGCCTATAATTATTGTATAGAAGGTGGGACAGGAGTTGTTCTCAAATATTTAATTTCAAATTAAATTTTTTTATTTATTAAATTTAAAAAAAAAAAAAAAAAAACGACATGTCAGGTGGATTTGAGGCTGTCTCTAGATGTTCTCAAGTGCGCTTTTCGGCCACGTCACCTTCGGCTGTACACTTTAACACGTGTACATTAATGGACCAATAGAATTCCGCCCTTGTGGATGTCTCCGTCCAACTGACTCCTCATTGGGTGCATTCTATGAGAACCACAAGATTACGAGGCGGTTTTCCGAGCTCTGGTAATGGACACGTGGCGTTTTGTTTGCAAAGCTGGAACTTTCGAGTTTGCTTTTTTGATGGTGAGGTGTCACATTTTGTCTTCTTCCATTATTATTATCATCATCATGTCTATAGCCATTCAAATAAGATAAGATTTTTTTTTTCTTTTTCTTTTTAGAGTATAAATGTTTCACCTAGTTTCCTTTTTTAATCGTTTTATTATGTTATATTTTTTTAATTTATGTTTGTTTCATAAAAATATCATCTCGACTACCGAGATATTTAATTAAGTTACCGAACTTATGTGGTAAAGGTAAATAGTTGTGGTGTTGTGGGCAACACGCTGGTTAATAAATTGGAATGAGTCATCAAATTAATAATTGTATGACTAGATATTTTAGAAAAAAATTTATTTTTTAAAGAATTTGTATAAATTAATAACCTATTGTGATGTCCCACGTTAGCTGGGAGGAGAACAAACTACCATTTAAAAGGGTGTGTAAACTTTTCCCTAGTAGACGTGTTTTAAAGCCTTGAGGGAAGCCCGAGAGGGAAAGTCCAAAGAAGGGAATATCTCTAGCGGTGGATTTGGGGCCGTTACACTATCCTGACAAAATTGAAAATTTTGGAGATTTATTTGAAATTGTTATGGATATTTAGTACTAAAATTGAAAAATTCAGAGATTTATTTGAAATGGTTAAGTTTACCGTATATATCTTATTTATATTTTATTATAGGTAAATATCTAGATATTTGTTTTATTACCATAGTTATCTTCCTATATATTGTTTTATTTATTTATTACTATTTTCCTATCGTATAATTTATTTAGATATTTGTTTTCTTACCATATATATCTTTTCATATATTCTCTCCCTATATTACTATTTTCATATTCTTATAATTTATTTGATTATAAATAGAGAACTTTCCGACAGTGGATTAAGCAAACATTCTCAGAAATAATATAAACGTTTAAAATTAATTATACATTTTTTTAGTTTAGTTCGTAAATTTTAAAAAATCTTAAATAAAACCGAGAGCTATTAGATACAAAATTATATATATTTTTTAAGTTTAAAAACTAGGCTAAATTAATAAAAATAATATATGTCTACAAAATATTCATATATTAACCTTAATATTATTTTTGATGAATATATTTTAAATGACAAAAATATTTTTAATTTTTGTTAAAAGGTATTTTTAAATTAAAAAATATATTTATTTTTAAAATTTTAAAAGTATTTGGAAAACAGAATAATTTAAGAATATTCGGAAAAAAGAATATATATATTTTTTATCTTTATTTAGAATGTAAATGAAAGTGTGATAATTTTAGTTTCTCGATTCGACCCGACCCGATAAGGTTAGTCGGGTTATCGGTTTAAACGAATAGACCCAGTGTTTGGGGTTTCATCAGAACGACCTTCGACTCCAGCTATCAGCATCCTTCCCCTCTCACACTCCGACTGTCGCATTTGCCGCCAACTTTTCTGCTGCCGTTACCATTGACACTCACCCACTGTCGCCGTTCCTGTCTGTTGGAACCTTCTCTGGTCGGGAGAACGAGCTTGGACTCTCAGCATCTTCTGGTCTCTCTCACGTTTGTTTATTAGGTGATTATCTTCACTGACGTTTGCTTTAAATTGATTTATTCAATTGACCTAATTATGAATTTTCTTTCTTGTGATGGGAAATTGTTGGCTGGCTTGATTCATCTTTGTATTGTATTGATCTGTAGTTGCTGATATTTGGAGCTGTTCCTGTTGAATTAGGGTTCTTGTCGCTATAATTTTAACTGATTATCGTTTCCTGGCTTGATTCATCTTTGTATTCATCTTATTCTTCATCCTAATTTTTGTTAAATGGAATGAAAAGCTTGGAAGTTGCAACGTCATAGAGAAAAACAGTTGATCGAAGGAAATAAAATGGATTTGATTAATCTATCTTTCTCAACAACATGTATCTCCATTCCTTTGTCCTTGTATGAATGAGTGTTTTGCCATATCCAGCAAATCTATATCATGAAACATAGAATAATGTCGATCTTTTTTGTTTAAGTATTGATATAATTAAATTTACCATAACCCACCCGCTTAAAGTTTTGGGTTAAATGATGATTTAACATGGTAATGGAGTGGGAGATCTTTAAATATTTGTAATGTTGTTTCCTCTGCAATTGATGTTGATTTTCATTTGTTGGGTCTTCTACAAAATTTCAAGTCTACCAGTGAAGGGATTGTTAAAATATTGATATAATTAAATTTATTATGACCCCATCCGCTTAAGTTTTTGGGTTGTTTGCTTCGATCCCTTGATTGTCAAGGAGTCTAAGTTGCTTCGTTAAGCTTTTGGGTTGATTGGTTATTTAACGTTTTTCGAAAAAGGAAGTTCAATTTGTTCAGCTTTTTTGTTACTGGCTTTCACCCTCACCCATCATAATTTGAACTCCCTAAACCATTGATAAAAGCTTAGCTCAGACCAGAACTAGAGAGAGAGAATTAGAAGGTTGTGTAGAAGTTTAAGGATTGCCAAGGAGTCTTGAGTTTCTTCATTAAGATCAAATGAATCTAAAATCTTTTCAACATAGTTATTGTTTAAGAAGGTTGATGGAAAGTGATTATAAAAAGAAAAGAAAAGGAAAGTAGATGGAAAACTGTTTAAAAAATGAGTGGAAACACAAATTGGAATATCCGATGGTTCTTTTCGATGGAAATAATAGATGGAAAAGTTCTAAGAGGACAATATCTGCTAGTAGTGGGCTTGAACTGTTATAGATGGTATTAGAGCCAAACACCGAACGGTGTGCCAGCGAGAGCCTTGGGCCTCAAGAGGGGTGAATTGTGAGATCCCACATTGGTGGAGAGGGGAATGAAGCATTTCTTATAAGGGTGTGGAAATCTCTCTCTAGTAGACGCGTTTTAAAATCTTGAGGGGAAACCAGGAAGGAAAAGCTCAAAGAGGACAATATTTGCTAGCGGTGAGCTTGAGCTGTTACACCTCATGAGCTTTGCTTGGTATGATTCATGTCAAATTGTTTTGGAGGTTTAATTTTTTGATACCAAACCTTACCTTCCGTTGGAAACTATTTTGTTGAATGGTTGGTACGTTTTGCACTTTTGTTAATTCAAGAACTTCCCACTGAGCTCGGATGAAATACCAAAGGCGGCTTATTACCACACTTTTTTGATTCAAAAACTTCTTACATTTCTCAGTTTATATCTTCAGTTGTGAAGGTTTCGTGGTAAGTTACTGCAACGTCGACAGCTATGTTCACTAACGACCGGAGGCAAGCAGAGCGAACTGGAAGATATGGAACTCCAAGGCTCCAGTACCTACAGGTACCTTCCATTGAAGCTAAAACATGGAGTTGTATTATTGTTCGTTGGCTTATGTGTTTTTATTTGTAGTAAATTTGATTTTTGGTGCCTTTTTCGGGTTTTTTTTTTGCAGGAATTAGTGAATGAATTTCAGAGCTCAACTAGTCAAGGTATGTTTCTCGTTCCAAACTAAGCACGAGAATTTTAATCGAAATTATTGTTAGTTTTTGTTCGTTTTGAGAAGTTGTGGGGGAATGAGAGATTTCTAGCCCTCTATAAATGCTTGGGAGCGTTTTGTATGCCTAAGGGCATGCCTTACTGATCCCTTTAAGCATCACCAAATATTCTTCGATTTCTGATATTTCTGTAACGATAGCGCTGTCTCGTAGATTAATAATATAGTTTAAAGAATTCTACTTGCAACCCTAAAGTGATGAGGACAATTTTTTTCTAATGAATTCCAAAATGTTATGTTTGTTTCGTTATAAACTCGAGAAGCTAACAGTTTGCGTCGGTCCTCTTGAACTTGCAGAAACAAAAGAAAGAGTCGTTGCAAATTTGGCAAACTTTGCTTATGATCCTTACAATTATTCCTTCTTACGCCAAGTATGAAATCTCTACTTCTAGTATTGCAATGCTTTGTTTCTGAGCTTCATTTTTTAAACTATTTTACTGAACTGTAACTTTGCGAGCAGCTAAACGTTCTGGAGCTTTTCTTGGACTGCATGACGGAGCCAAATGAGAAGCTCGTTGAATTCGGTATAGGAGGCATCTGCAATTCTTGCGTTGGTGCGATTTGGAACTCGAACCTTGGGTGGTTTCGTAATTTAGTACTTATTTGATTTATATGTGAGTGCTGTTTGTTCTATTGATGGGATGGGATGGGTTGGCTTGCTGATCACTGATACATCTATAGTTATTGTTTTTGTGCAGATCCTGCTAATGCTTCTATTATAACAAAGTGTGGAGGAATTCCTCTCATCATTGAATGCTTGTCAAGCCCTGTAAGAAACACTGTAAGTTGAGAACCTTGTGCGCGTTACTTCTTGTTGTGTTTTCCGAAAAGAAATTGACCATCTCTTGGGCATATGCACGATGTTTAAAGAAATCCCGTTCTATAACACGAAGCCTACCGTTAGCAGATATTGTCCTCTTTAAACTCTCTCTTTCAGGCTTCCCTACAAGGTTTTTAAAACGCGTCTGTTGGGGAGAGGTTTTAACACCCTTATAAAAAATGTTTCGTTCCCCTATCCAACCCCTCTTCGGAGCTCAGCGTCCTCGCTGAAACTTGGGTCCTGTCTCCAATCAATGTGGGACTCCCCAACGTGGATTGTGAGATTCCACATGTGTCCGTTGAAAATGCATTCACTCATGAACAATGCTTATCAGGTGAATTATGCGCTTGGGGCCTTATATTACCTCTGCAATGCATCAAATAAGGAAGAGATTATGAAACCAGAAGTGGTAGATGTCATCAAGAGATATGCAGTGGCTGAGAGTGCGAGCTTCAGTAATCTGGCTAAAGCCATTCTGGACATGCACTTCTCTGATAGAAATTGAGTATTCGACATCCTCGATGGCGAATCGGGTGAAAGAGTTCGCATTGGTCGGTTCGGTTTTCCTCCTTATCTACTTATTCTTTTACGATCTTAGGTCCCGTTCGATAATGATTTTCTGCTAAAAAAAATCATTTTGTTTTCTCGCGATTTTCATGTTGTTGTAGTTCATCTTGTTTTGAGTTGTTAATAAGATCTCATGGTGTTCTCTCCGTTGCTGCACAATCTGTAAATTAGAACCAACAAAAATAAATAAATCTATTTTTTAAAATAATAATAATAATAAAACTTTATGAGATCACATTTCTGATAAAAGTTCTGGGGCTTAAATGTCATTGTCACCATCAAATATTTAAGAAACGAATGAAGCCCTTCTGAGTTTAGATATTTTCTTTCTGACAGTTGGCCACTGATGCTGAATTTTACCACCTTTATGACCGTTTTGCCCTTCTGGCGGCTAAGAACCAAAATTGCCTTTTGCTATCATACTCATCATTATTATTATTACTTATCCTCCTTTGAAACCTAATGATTAAGGGTATTAGTTGGAATTTTAAAATTTTACCCGTACCAAAGCGATCTAATATGTTTGATTAAACCGATCAATCGATCCAATTCCATCCATTTTTAAAATAATAACAAAATCGATGATTTTTATTTACAGTATTCAATATAGTGAAAGTGAAACTCGATAGTTTATAAAATTGCAAGGCGAGAAAATTTCACCTCGATGTCATAGATTCGGACCTCTTCTATCTCTAGCTAGCTAGCTAGAGTTAGCATAATTTTATATTTATGAAACGAAAGTCAACAGTGTTGACTGACACGTCGCTTTATGTGTGTAGTATGGGAGAATCTAACCTTTGTTTTTATAACTAAAAAATATATATTTTTTAAAATTTTAATTTATCAATTTGTCATGGGCATTATTTTTTAAATAATCCACTTTTGTCTATATTACAACAAAAGGGTTTGGGATTTTCAATAATTTTATGAATTTAATATTTATCCAATAAACTTGTTTACAGTAAGTGTGGAATATTTTTTAATAGTTCATTAAGATAAGACTAATGAATATATGTCGTATGATTAATATATTAATATATTAATTATTAATAATTTATAATTATATTAATACTTTAAAAAGGTTTAAATCTTATTTTTAGTCTTTTTCAATCTTATTTTATTGTAGTTTTATTAATATTTTGATAAGTCAATAATCGTTTTCTAAAGTTCAATTATTAAATTTGGAAAGTTTTAGGGAATATTTAGATTAATCCTAAAAGTTATACTTTTTTACTTTTAATTTTAATTTTAATTTTATTCACAAATTTATACTTTTATTTTTTAATTTTATTAATATTTTTAGTTATTGATTTGTGTTAAATTTCTATTAATTAATTTAAAATAATCAAATTATTTTTTTCATTAATTTTATTTATAAAGGTTTATTAAAGTTTTTAAAAGGTTGAAAGGTATTAATTATATTTTTTTTAAAATGTAGTCTATGCAAAATTAATGGTAAGAATATTTTTTAAAGTTGGTCAATCTCTTTCCGAGCATGCTGTACAAACACTCATTCGTCCTGTCCAAATAGCCGAATCTATCTCTTAGCGGTTCTTTTCTCCACTAGGAACTCATTCCCAACCAGCCAGACCGAACAATTTTGTAAGATTAGCTAATTCAAAGGGGTGAATCTGATCCGAAGTTGTCACAATGAATCATTTGCTTTATTGAAACTTTATTAGAGGGTTTTGGTTGGCCTTCCTGTTTTCAACCAACCATTATAGTAGGTGTCGACCAACTTTGCGATACAAACAAACACAATAAATAAGAAGCGTAAATGCAAAAGAGAAGAAAAAAGATTCCATCCCGAGCATGTTATTGACTCAACCACAAATCTGTTGAACGAAGGTAGCTTGGTTATATATTATCGAAATTTTTTGTTTGTAAGCGGAGGAGTATTTTTTAAATAAAATATAAAATTGGAGTATTTCTATTTATTAATTTAATAGATGTATGAGTATTTCGATAAAAAAAATGCATAAAGAATTTTGTAACAAGTTTGGTAACAAATGGCAATTGTGTAAATAATAGGCGGATTAAAGGGTAATATATTAAAGAAGGAAATAAAAAAATTGTTTTTAAATCGGTGCCGCTTACGACGGTTTTCTTCCACCTACCACAACTCTTCGTTTTCGTCTTATTTTTTTGCTGCATCGGTTCTGTTTGTTTCTTGCTTTTTCCACGGTCGATCTTCTCAGCGATTACTTCGTTCGGAGTGAGGGAGGTTTCGAATCATGGCTTTTCAGAAGATCAAGGTCGCCAACCCCATCGTTGAGATGGACGGTGCGTCCACCATATACCTTGATTTCAATCTTTTTTTTTTCTATTGCAATATGTTCATGTTTTTTCATTTTTCGTTGTTTCTTATGTCTTATGATATCGATGCTGCTGGATTGCTTTTGAATCGCTAAATATCGTAGGGGATGGGGATTTTTGTTTTCCGTCGGTTAGGAGGGAGTTCGTGTTTGTTTTTATTGCATTTGGATCTGTGAAGGTCGGTGTGTAATTTTGTAGATCATGGAGTTTTTGTTTTGGTGTATGAGAAGGTGTTTCTTGCTTCTGTGAGTATGCTTGATTTGGAGGAAGTGGTTAGCTGTTGGTCCACTTTTCCTGATCTATGAGGCCAAGCCTCAACCTTCATTTGTTTTCCCTTGGTGTTGTGATTTTTAAGAAATGAGTACTTCTGTTTTCTTTTCTTTGGTGGCGGTTAGCTGCCTGTGTTTTACATCAAATGAGAAGTTGTTGAATTTTCCCGTCATATGGATCAGTGTTTGTTTCTTCTCCGTTAAACGTAATAATATGTTATAAGCTGGGAGGAATCTAGTGGAAGTAACATCTAAATCTTTATCATCGTAAATGACTGTGTTGCATGTTGTACTTACTTTTATTCCTGAACTCTAATTATGAGACAACTACCTTTTCCCCTGGTATGAATCCTGCAGTCATATTTTAGAGAAATATAATGATTTTACAGCCAATGAAGTCCTGGTAAGATGTGGAATAACAAACAATATAAATAACTTTATGTAATGCATGATTGGTGCATCCTAGAAGTTTCTATGGATTTGCAGAAACTGGGGGATGTGAATGTTATTAGATTTTCCTCTCTTCTGCATTGTAGATTTTATTTTCTTTTTTCCCCAGCATTGTTTCTGTTGTTTTTTTTTACTCTGCATAATGTTACTCTTGGGATCCTCTGTACAGGAGATGAAATGACTCGAGTTATCTGGGAATCAATTAAGAATAAGGTATTGATTATGACAAATGTATATAAGTGCATCTTTTTGTTGTAAGTATCTGGCTTATATTTTTCCTGTCTTATTTACAGCTTATTTTCCCCTTTTTGGAATTGGACATCAAGTATTTTGACCTTGGCCTTCCACACCGTGATGCCACAGATGATAAAGTTACAATTGAAAGTGCAGAAGCTACTTTAAAGTATGTGGTGTTACCAGCGAGGATTATTTGAAGTTCCTTTGATTAAAGCATCTGATGCGTCATGTATCTAATTGGACTTTCTAGCTACTCAATCTTGAAGAGCTTGTTTGATGAGAAATTATTGACTTCATTTGCATTATTTTTTTTTTTGAGTTCTTTATGGCTTGTATATTTTGGAACTCAGTGTGTTCTAACCATGACCGTACGTAATTTGGGTATACTCTTTTGTTCTAGGTACAATGTGGCGATCAAATGTGCAACAATTACTCCAGGTATAATTGCCTTTCTAAATTGGAAAAGAGCATCCAATATATCGGCCTATTCTGTGTTTTGTTGATTTTACATTACTATATTTTAACGAGCATCTGGAGTTCTTATATTGGAAGAATGATGATTGACAGATGAAGCACGTGTTAAGGAATTTGGCTTGAAGCAGATGTGGAGAAGTCCAAATGGGACAATCAGGAATATTCTGAATGGTCAGTGCCCCCACTATTTGTACTTTATTCTGGTTTCTCGAATTATTTGAAAAGGCTTTAAAGACTTATGACTAAAATATACATTTTTGCTTTATCAATTATATTGATTGAAGTCCAAGTGGAATTGAAAATAATATTAATTGTGTTTCTTGTCACAGTCCACTGTATTTTCTATATATATATATATATATTTGTAATGGCTTGTAATTATTTGACAGGGTAGAGAGAATTTTGTTTCAGAATAGCTTTCCTTTGGTTCAACCTGTTTTGTAGTTATTTGTTTTTACTTTCAGGCTTACCAATTGGCATCTTCTGCAGGTACTGTCTTCAGAGAACCAATTCTTTGCAAAAATGTTCCTCGCCTTGTACCAGGTAATTGCTGTCCACATTGATTTTATATTTTGGTTTAGAATATTGTACTGATTGTGGTTGTTGTCAGGTTGGACGAAGCCTATCTGTATTGGACGACATGCTTTTGGTGATCAATACAGAGCTACCGATACAGTTATCAAAGGACCTGGAAAACTGAAATTGGTTTTTGGTATTTAAGATCCCAAAAACTGCATTTCTTGTCTAATGAATCCTCAATTGCTTTTATTTGATAGTTTCTTAAAATGCTGACTGTTGCAGAGGGGCAAGAGACGCAGGAGATAGAGGTTTTCAATTTTACTGGTGCTGGAGGAGTAGCGTTATCCATGTATAACACTGACGAGGTTTGTTATAGTATCCCCACGGTCTAGTTAAGAACTTAATAAAATATTCTCAACCCCTTTCATGTTTCAGCAAGTTTCCCAAATTAATCCTACAATGTAATGCTGCCTTGTAGTCCATCCGCTCCTTTGCTGATGCTTCAATGAACACTGCTTATGAGAAGAAATGGCCTCTTTACCTTAGCACCAAAAACACTATTCTAAAGAAATATGATGGAAGGTATGCACTTTGATTTGTTATTTTGTATATGGATTGTTATATGAAATATTTATGGCAACTTTTTCTTTGCACCTGTACCAATAATTTTCTTTCATTATGTTCATGAATTGAATGAAGATTCAAGGATATATTCCAAGAAGTCTATGAATCCCAATGGAAATCAAAGTTTGAGGCTGCTGGCATATGGTGAATAGCTTTTAATGACTTGATAAATGTTTATTAAGCTATTCCCAGTTTGAACTGCTAAACTAATTATTCTGGTTCTCAAAGGTATGAACACCGTCTCATCGATGATATGGTGGCTTATGCACTTAAGAGTGAAGGAGGTTATGTCTGGGCATGCAAGAACTATGATGGAGATGTTCAGAGTGATTTCTTAGCACAAGGTATGTGAAAATTTGAGCACGTTCCTTCTTCTGGCCTTTGGTTTTTAACATTTCTACGTGTGGTTACTTTCTTGGCTTAGGGATGCTAAAAAATTTATACTTGGCTTGCATTTTCTCCATCATTTCTAACTTTATGTTTTTGGTTTTAGGATTTGGATCTCTTGGGTTGATGACTTCTGTATTGGTATGTTCCATTCAAGTTTTCAATACGTTATTACCAAGACAAATTTTTATAATCTGCAAGTCCTTCAATCAGCAGATTGAGTTTGATTTCTATATTATGTTTAATCTCCTTGAACTTCATTGATATCTAAGGAAAAAAAGGAAGACCGAACAATTACATTTGTTTGCTTTACTTACCAACATGAAAAGGTTATTCTTTTTGTGGGGTTGTATTTTTGTTCGCTTATTCATCAAAAGAAATAAAGCATCAATTTATGCCTTCGGAAAATATTTGAAGAAAAATAGCTGCTTTCTTGTGGGCCTCCACAAAAACGATGATTTCTAATGTGCTCCAACTTGTCATTTTGATATGCATTCTTACCATTGAAACATGGGTACTAGATTCCCAATTTGTTGGTTTTGAAGTGTATAAAGAGTACTATATCTATAAGGCTTCAGTATTAATGTGAATCCTTGTTGAAATTTGAAGTATGTCTGCACTTTGAAACTAGGTTTGCCCTGATGGAAAGACAATTGAAGCAGAAGCAGCTCATGGTACTGTTACACGACATTTTAGGGTTCATCAAAAAGGAGGTGAAACCAGCACAAACAGTATAGCGTCCATCTTTGCTTGGTCTCGTGGCCTTGCTCACAGGTAGTTATCATATGGTTAATATCTCTTTGGTCCCTTGAACATTTTGAGGTCAAAGGATATTTAGAAGTTAACTATTATCACTGTTTGTAAAGGGCAAAACTAGACGACAATGCTAGTCTCTTAGATTTCACTGAGAAACTAGAATCGGCTTGTATTAGTACCGTGGAATCTGGGAAGATGACCAAGGATCTTGCTCTTATCATTCATGGATCCAAGTAAGTTTCATATTAGTCATCGTCATGAATGACCTCTTTCCACTCCTTTGCCATTAGATTGAAAATTTTATCACATTATTCCCATGTTTGGTGCAGGCTTTCTCGAAACCATTATCTGAATACTGAAGAGTTCGTTGATGCTGTCGCTGAGGAACTAAAATCCAGACTACTTAAGGCATAGTGGTATTTTAAATGTTCAATGGTGAATGATTGTTAAATGTTCAAGAACATCTTTCTCATTTTCTCTTCTTTCCTGGATAATTAGTCTAGTGGGAGGAATGCTATTAATGCGTTCGGCAGTTTACTATCAAACTTTTTAAAGTTAAACAACATTAAGAAGTGGAAAAAGTGCATTGAATTTAGGATAGTCAACTTGAGGTTGTTAAATAATTCCTTCTTTTACAATCCTTTTTCCCATGGCACCTGCACGTCCTTTTCATTTCTCTTGGTAATTGGACTACTACCATTTTCTTGGTGTAAGTAAGTGTGTAAAGACAGTGTATCTTAGAAATTTTATCCTGCTCGTGGAAAATGCTAATTCCATTCTTGGTTCATTTAATTAATGCTTCTTTTTGCTTTCTATTGAAATTGTTGTGACATGCTTCGTAATTGTAACTGAACTTGAGATGTTCACTCCTTCCTGATGTAGGATCCTACTCCTTTTTCTTATGGACTTATAAATTCTCTTACTGCATTGGCATACTCGTAGGAACTGTTTTAAGGTGTAGGACACATGTTAGGTGGTGTACTAGTTGAAGGACGACCCCCCTACTTCTACTTGTTTCATATTGGCTACCACCAATTGTTGAATGAGGAATGTCAAATTAGATATTTTGAGTCTCAAGAAAAAGGTAGCATTCTCCACTCTTATTCAAGACGTGTCTCCTTTAAATCACTACTCCTCTGAGTAGTTGGTAGACATGATGAAATCAAATTCCTAGTATCTTCCGTCAGAAGAAAAAATCCATGGCATCAAGAGTTCTATTCAAAATGACATTATCATCTTTTTCTCTCCGTAGGCTATAAATATAGGAGTCTTAGCTTGCACCCAATTGTTTGAGTCTCTTTCAAGGTGACATGAAATTACTCGGGAGGAAAGTCAAGTCCTTAATCAAGGAACACTATAAAAAACTATTTCAGCTGGTATAAAAATCATTTAAATACTAGTCGTTGAGCAGAGTATAAGTGCTCAACTTACGCCAAGAGTGAGAGTTAAAGAAACTATCGAAGGACTTCAATAAGGATCTTCTTTTCTCATTTTTCCCTTTTCTGCTGAGATTATGCTTGAAAAGTAGAATGTGTCAGTCTCAGGCATAATCAAAGACATTTCTAAAATGTTGAAGTTTAAATAATGAGTTCTGAAATTCCCATCTCAAGTTATTTATTGCTATTTTTCTCCATATCAATCCTTTTGGTGGATGCTGGTCGAATCAATTGAAAGTTGTTGAGGATTCCTTGGCTTTTCTCAGGCCACTGTGAAGGCATATGATTCCTTTTTTGTTTTTGTACAAAGAAACAATGCTCTTTTGCAGTCCTCTTTTGGAACTGTTTTCCTTCCGGAGAAAAATTAGGGTTCTGGTAAAATAATTGATTCAACAGGGAACTTGTAATGGTGCTCTTGCATAGAATTTGTGCTAGATCTAATGTATTGTTCTCAGTAGTGGATTGTCGGTCTCCCTATTATGTGTAGGTCAGTATGGTGTTAATTAATTGGGGGTATTCAGCAGAGAAATATACATCTTAATCACGATTAGATCTAAGCTGGTTCCTCCTTTCTTTTAGATCTAAGTTGGAAATTTGTTCCTGTTCCTTCATCGGGTTTGAAGATTCCTTATCACTCTTCTCTTTCATACTTCCACTTCTCTTTAACACTACGGTTTCTGTTTCCCATTGAAAAGAATGAAAGGAGAATGCCAAGGAGAGTTTATTCATTGTGCATCAGCTATTCTGAACTGATCTACTCAGAGATATCTCCTATTCGTGCTAGGAGATTCTAAGCTAATCAAGTGACTAATTTTTGGTTTATACATGATACGCAATAATATAAATGACTACAAGAGAGTGTGAGAAAGACTTTTCAGGACATAGGAGTGGAAACAAAAATTATAAAGTGATCTTCCATTACCACCTTGGTAATTTCATTTTTAGAAGAATCACGTGCAATATTTAGTGGGCACCAGAGCCTTTCTGGACGTTCGGTTACTTCCCGGGAATCTTTTCATTGAATTTTTTAGCCATTTGACAATGTTGTGTCAAATAAAAGTTACACATACTTTTTTACTTCACCCGTGTTATTATTTTTATTTTTTTTTGGCGATCCAGACTCATTAGAGCTGACCTTGCAGGCTAGGTTGTGAAGACTGACTGCTGAAATACCATGAAATGAACTAGAGAGGAGACAATCTAATGGAACGATTCAACCATCAGGAGCTCTGAGGCTACTGTTGTGTTCTGTGTTTGGGAAATGTTTCAACGTCAATTGTCAAATAATGACAGCTTAAAGCTTCAGCTGTTATAATCTATTTCCGTTTTACCCTTTCCCGGAAAATGGAATATGCACTTTATTTTCTTTTTCAGTTTAATGAGCTGCAATAATTCTTCATCATGGTTTTCTGGGTTTCACTTTGCTACTGTTTCTTATTATACTTCATCATTGAAGAGTTTTATGGTTACAGGAAAAATGTGCTATATTTTACTCACAAGCTGCTGCTTGTATATCTTCCTCAGAAAGGCAGTGGAGCGCACAAAGAAAATAGTAAGCTTTACGGCCTCAATTTCTCCTCTAGCCGTTCTTACAATCTTCTTAACATTTCTTATCTGAATATTTGAACTAGTTATTGTCTCAAGCCCCTTATTAATCCTCCCATAAAGTGTCTCCCCCATTGGCTCTTAGGAAAGATGAGCAAAGCTTGAGCGAGTGTTTATTAGGAAAATATGGGGCAAAGGAAAGGTCGGGGAGCCCTGTTATTTCTCACACTCCTAAAGTTGCTTTAGTGTGAAGGGCACTGTTAAGGGCATGTGCTGTGCTCCTGTGTTGAGACTGTTACTGAAGTAGTTTGTAGAGTGAAGGCATTAGATATTGGACTTAAATGGTACGGGCGAGGAGGGATTTTGTTAGCTTGAATTTGATAGGGTAGCCCATTAGTTTTTAAGAATCTCAAGTCCATTTGAATGGGCTGGTTTGTCCAAGGGTTTATCTTTGCATAATGAGCGTTTTTCTTCCTATGCCTCGTCTCTTTTTCTTCTCTGATGTGATTTGTTCTTTGTTATTTTTGCCATTTTGAAGGAATTGACACTCCTCAAGTCCCCCTATCCGGGTGAGGCGACTTACAAGATATCACTTTCAAGTCTAATCTCGGGTGGTAACTCATTTCCTTGGTGTCACTGTTGCCCAATTCAATTCCATGTCGAACATTTAGATGATGCTCGAGCTTGGGCTTAAATTGTGTCTGGAAACTAAGAAGTGAGGGTAGATTAGATATTTCTTTCATATACTATCAAATTTTTTCTACACGGCCTTGTTTAATTAGATAGATGTTGTGGGCACCGTGAATTAATCATCGACATTGACATTTAAAACTTCGTGAGAGAAGAGCTTTCGACAAATGGGTATGAAGCATATACCTAGGTCAACGCGTAGTCCATAAGAGTAAGTAAAGGTAGTTGAGAGAGCTTTGAAGTGCTGAAAGGTCTTAAGCTAAAGATAAGTCCATTTTCTTTTAATAGTTTGATGGATAAATTTGCAAGTGGCTTTGCATATTGACTAGGTAGCTTGGTGTTAAGGGCTCCTATCACAATCCACAAAAGGGCATGCCTGTTGTGTGGGTCCCATAATGCTATCCTCAAGCGTCCAGCTAACTTTGGTTGAACGAGAACAGGTAACCTTTGATAAGTTCTAATCAATTGATAGAGATCGTTCATAAACGTCGTGAATATGTCAACAAATAGTAACCTTATTATTGATATTATTTTTAATCTTATGCTCATTTTATTAATGATTCAATTAATTATTGTAATACCAATACCATCGAATGTTTTGATTCCACTAATGCATTGCATCCAAAACTAAAATAGCAACAATTTGGTCACTGAGGCTTGTGATCTACAGCTCTATCTTTGCTTTTTTATGTTTGAGTTGATCAAATTATATTAATCTTCTCTACTTTACAATAATCGAATGTAGTAGTTAATGGTAGGACCCATTTAATTATTATTATTATTATTATTAAAATGTAATAATTAGAAAGGAGCTTTCTGGAAGATTATTATTAAAAAAAAAAAAAAAAAAAAAAAAAAAAAAAAAAAAAAAAAAAAAAAAAAAAAAAAAAAAAAAAAAAAA